ACCTATTTCCTACAAGGGGTTGAAATGGATAGGCTACAAGAACCTATTGTGGTCATTCCTTTTACAATGTGTCTTACAAAGATAAGAACTATGAAAAATGGCTAACATTTGAAATCAAAGGGCAGCAATAATAAGTAATAACTTCCTGGGAAGTGGAGAAGTGCACAGCTCAAGTAGTACTGGAGCTTATTAGAGGTGAATTTTAGCAAAAATGGCTTCATTTCCTATTTCTTGGATAAGGAATCTAGAACTGTACAGCGATCTAGTATTAAAGCAGCTGAAAAAATATTACATGATAGTCTTGAGAAATGTACAGAGGACTACAAATGGGTTTACAAATACTGGTTTTATGATATCCTGAAGGCCATTTGTTGTAGACGGCTTCTATGAATGACTTTGATGAACTACACCAAAACAAAAATCCAAACTTCCAGTGAATATACGTAATTTTGTTAATGGTTTTGGTGCTGGGGGCTGAACCTAGGGCCTCACACATGCCCACGTGAACTACATCCTCAGTCCATAAAACTTCTTTCACACTCTCAGTTCAGGGAACAAATTAAATAAATTGTTACAAACAAACAAACATCAATTTGAAGACACCAAAGACTTGGTAAGGTTGTACTTAGGCTAATGATCAAGAAATGAGGGGAAGTTCAGAGTCATGATGTAAATGCAGCACAGGTTTTTTGTTGTTTGGTTGTTTGTTTTTTTTTTTTTATGGTCAGTCATGGGGCTTGAACTCTGGGCCTAGGCATTGTTCCTCAGCTCTTCAGCTTAAGGCGAGCGCTCTACCACTTGAGCCACAGTGCCACTTCCAGTTTCCAGGTGGTTTATTGGAGAGAAGAATCTCACAGACTTTCCTGTGATCCTCAGATCTCAGCCTCTTGAGTAGGTAGGATAACAGGTGTGAGCCACTAGTATCTGGCCAGCACAGGTTTTTCTTTTGACGGACATACCTATGCAAGGATGCCTTGTCTCTTGGAAAGTTAGAAAAAGATGTTGACTAAGACCCTGAAATACAGAGAAAAGTCCCACAGAGCTAAAGGAGAGATCAGGAGCTCAGTCTCAACCAACCAGCCAGGAAACCTGATAAGCATCCCAAGAGTCCAGTGTGATTTTGAAGGCTTTGGGAAAGCAGGAAATAGACTAAAGCCTCAGAAAAGGGCTGAAGCCCAGATTTCAGTCAGTTCCAACCCAGATTGAATTAAAATGATCTGTTCTTGGACGAACTGCCAGCAAGAAGAAAAAGTAAACATTCTGGAAGACAGAAAGATCATTCAAAGCCTCACATTGTCTATACACTTTTTATACATTCCATATGAATCTTAATTTAAAAAAAAAAAGTAAAAGCAGGCTCGGTGCTGGTGGCTCACGCCTATAATCCTAGCTACTTAGGAGGCTGAGATCTGATGATCATGGTTCAAAGCCAGATTGCTCAGGAAAGTCCATCAGACTCTTATCGCCAATAAACCACCAGAAAACCAGAAGTGGTGCTGTGGCTCAAGTGGTAGAATGCTCACCTTGGGCTGACAGTGCTCAGGCCCAGAGTTCAAGTTCCACAACTAGC